AATGGCCAATTCTTTGAGCAAACAGTTCCTGCAAATATGCACATATACATATGTCTCCTACAATACTGTTTGATACAAAAACATAAAAAAGACAGCAATCTAAATGACCATCAGTAGGAAAGAGATGAAATAAAATGGAATTTCCACGCAAAGGAGTACTATAAAGCCATTAGAAATACTGAAGTAGATTCCTACAGGCCGACATGAAAAGACAGCCATGATTTACTGGGTATGAAAAAAAGCAAGTTGCAAAACAGTATGTATAAATTATTCACTGTTAATTAAAGTTACATGTAAATCTACATTTGTATATAGAAGTTTAGAGTCATTCATTCAACAAATACTCAGTGAACTACAACATATATTTATTCGATGTGTATATACATTCATTCAAAAAAAGAGTACTGAACGTCTTATGTGCCAGGCCCTGGGTTGCATTTAAGTGTGCATCTATTTACCTGTCTCTGGGTATACTGCTCATCTGTAGGAGAACACACTGAATAGTGGTTATCTTCTGGGGGTGGGTGAGATTATGGAGGGTCTTTACTTTCTATTTCATATATTTCTACGTTGATTCATCAAAAGGAACACAAAGTATTAGATATTTTGTTACAGATAACCATTCTGACACAAATATTAACCAAATATATAGAAAATTATGATAGCAAAAGTGTAGAAAAGCAAAGAGGCGAGACAATGGCAAAGCCTGAATAGGTTCTACTTCCAATTGTATGAGGGAAACCAAGGATGGGGGAGATGTTTTCCGTAAAAACTTAATTGTGAATGTCATCACCAGAAGGAAAGAAGGACTGAAGCACTGTGGCTGTGTGTAAAAGGCAGCTTATCAAGCTGTGATGTTTCTGATGTTATTGTGTTGACCATCTGAGAAGACCATCCTCTCTAAGCATGTTTTCTGACCTGATTTTTTTTTTGAGGAAGATTGGTCCTGAGCTAACTACTGCCAATGCTCCTCTTTTTGCTGAGGAAGACTGGCCCTGAGCTAACATCCGTGCCCATCTTCCTCTACGTTATACGTGGGACGCCTACCACAGCATGGCTTGCCAAGAGGTGCCATGCCCGCACGCGGGATTGGAACCGGCGAACCCCGGGCCGCCGAGAATATGTGCACTTAACCCCTGCGCCACCGGGGCAGCCCTGACCTGAATTATTAATAAGCCCCTTGATCTTCTCTGTCAGACATAGACTGAAAATGATGGAAGATTCTGGAAGAGGTTTACCATAAGTTGAAAGGCTTAGAAATGAGGAAAGTGTTATTGGAAACACTCAATTAAAACTTGAGGGGAAAAATTGACTGCAGGGGCTGAGGAGGTAACAGAAGTGAGGGAAGTAGGTAAGGTATAAGACAACGGAGAGGGGTGAGGGCAGAAGTGGAGAACGCACGACCCCTCCAAACGAGGCGGCCACTGCTCAATTATTGCCACGTAGGAGTTCGGGTCTAATGTTGCCAGATGTAACTTTTCCAAGGAAAGCTGGAAATCAAGATTTTCATGAAAAATCTCCTGTTTTTGAAATGTAGGCAGCTAATTTAAATTTTTTTAAAAAGATTTAAGATTGGGGAGCTATGGACATTTAAGAAGAGTCATACAAGAAATTGTTCTAAATTCCTCCAAGGTAACTGCAATAAAAGTCTAAATGTATCAGCAGAAGTACATGCTGTATGACATCGTGTGTAGCAATACAGGCCCACCTTAACAAACAAGAAAAATCTAAATTAAATAATCTTAAACTACACCTAACAGAACTAGAAAAAGAAGAACAAACAAAGCCCAAAGTCAGAAGAAGGAGGGAAATAATAATAATTAGAGCAGAAATAAATGAAATTGAAACCAAAAAAAACAGTAGAAAGGATCAATGAAACTAAGAGCTGGTTCTTTGAGAAGATAAACAAAACTGACAAACCCTTAGCCAGACTCACCAAGAGAAAAAGAGAGAATGTTCAAAATAAAATTAGAAATGAAAGAGGAGAAATTACAACGGCTATCACAGAAATACAAAGGACTATAAGAGAATACCATGAAAAACTATATGCCAACAAAGTGGACAATCTAGAAGAAACGGATAAATTCTTAGACTCTTACAACCTCCCAAATTGAACCAAGAAGAAACAGAGAATCTGAACACACCAATCACAAGTACAGAGATTGAAACAGTAAGGAAAAGCCTCCCAAAAATAAAAGTCCAGGACCAGATGGCTCCCGTGGAGAATCCTACCAAATATTCAAAGAAGATTTAGTACCTATCCTTCTCAAACTATTCCAAAAAACTGAAGAAGACAGAACACTTTCTAATATATTTTATGAGGCCAACATACCCTGATCCCAAAGCCAGACAAGGACAACACAAGATAGGAAAATAACAAGCTGGTATCACTAATGAATATAGATGCAAAAATCTTCAACAAAACATTGGCAAACCAAATATAGCAATACATTAAAAGGATCATACACCATAATCAAGTGGGATTTATATCAGGGACACAGGGATGATTCAACATCTGCAAATCAATCAATGTGACACACCAATGTTAACAAAACGAGGAATAAAAACCGCATGATCATCCCAATACATGCAGAGAAAGCATTTCACAAGATCCAGCATCCATTTATGATAAAAACTCTCAATAAGATGGGCATAGAAGGAAAGTACCTCAACATAGTAAAGGCCATATATGACAAACTACTCAAGGGGAAAAACTGAAAGCCATCCCGCTGAGAACACTAACAAGACAACAGTGCCCATTCTTGCCACTGTCATTCAACATAGTACTGACAGTTTGGGCCAGAGCAATTAGGCAAGAAAAAGAAATAAAGGGTATCCAAATTGGCAAGGAAGAAGTGAAACTCTCAGTCTGCCCCAGATGACATAATTTTATATATAGAAAACCCTAAAGAATCCATCAGAAAAATATCAGAAATCATCAGCAACTACAGCAAAGTTGCAGGGTACAAAATCAACTTACAAAAATCAGTTGCATTTCTATACTCTAATAACGAACTAACAGAAAGAGAACTCAAGAATACAATCCAATTTACAATCACAACAAAAATAATAAAATATCTAGGAATAAATTTAACCAAGGAGGTGAAAGACCTATACAATGAAAACTAAAGACATTATTGAAAGAAATTGATGATGACATAAAGAGATGGAAAGAGATTCCAGGCACATGGATTGGAAGAATAAACATAGTTAAAATGTCCATGCTACCTAAGGCAATCTACAGATTCAATGCAATCCCAATGACATTCTTCACAGAAATAGAACAAAGAAACCTAAAATTCACATGAGACAACAAGAGACCCAAGTAGCTAAAGAAATTCTGAGAAAAAAGAATAAAGCATCACAATCCGTGACTTCAAAATATACTACAAAGCTATAGTAACCAAAACAGCATGGTACTGGCACAAAAACAGGCACACAGATCAATGGAACAGAAGTGAAAGCCCAGATATAAAACCACACATCAACGGACAGCTAATCTTTGACAAAGGAGCTAAGAACATACAATAGAGAAAAGAGAGTCTCTTCAATAAATCATATTGGTAAAACTGGACAGCCACATGTGAAAGAATCGAAGTAGACCATTCTCTTTCCCCATACACAAAAATTAACTCAAAATGGATTAAAGACTTGAAGGTAAGACTCGAAACCATAAAACTCCTAGAAGAAAAGATAGACAGTATAGTCTTTGACATCAGTCTTAGAAGAATCTTTTCAAATACCACGTCTACTTGGGTAAGGGAAACAAAAGAAAAAATAAACAAACGGATTTCATAAGACTAAAGAGCTTCTGCAAGGCAAAGGAAACAATGAACAAAACGAAAAGACAACCCACCAACTGGGAGAAAACATTTGCAAATCATGTATGTGACAAAGGGTTAATCTCCAAAATACATAAAGAACACACACAATTCAACAACAAACAAAACAAACAATCCGATAGAAAAATGGGCAGAGGATATGAACAGACATTTTTCCAAAGAAGATATACAGATGGCCAATAGGCACATGAAAAGATGTTCAACATCACTAATAATCATGGAAATGCAAATCAAACTACACCTTACAGGGGCCAGCCCGGTAACTCAGTGGTTAAGTTCACACATTCTGCTTCAGCGGCCCGGGGGTTGCTGGTTCAGATTCCGGGTGTGGACCTATGCACTGCTTATCAAGCCATGCTGTGGCAGGCATCCCACGTATAAAATAGAGGAACATGGGCACAGATGTTAGCTCAGGGCCAGCCTTCCTCAGCAAAAAGAGGAGGATTGGTGGCAGATGTTAGCTCAGGGCTAATGTTCCTCAAAAAAAAAAAAAACACTACACCTTACACCTGTTAGATGGCTATAATTATCAACACAAAAAACAACAAATGTTGGAGAGGATGTGGAGAAAAGGGAACCCTCATATACTGCTGGTGAGAATGCAAACTGGTACAGCCACTATGGAAAACAGTATGGAGATTTACCAAAAAATTAAAAATAGAAATACCCTATGACTCAGCTATCCCAATACTGGGTATTTATCCAAAGAACTTGAAATCAACAATTCAAAGAGACTTGTGCACCCTTATTCAATTAAGCTCTCTATTCTTAATTTACGGATAAATAGACTAATGGTTTCAATAACGTGTGTGCTTCATGTTATGTTCATTGCAGCATTATTCACAACAGCCAAGACATGGAAGCAACCCAAGTGCACGTCCACTTATGAATGGATAAAAGAAAATGTGGTACATACATGCAATGGAATACTACTCAGCCATGAAAAAACAAAAATAATCCCCTTTGCAATAACATGGATGGACCTTGAGGGTATGAAGCCAGACAGAGAAAGAAAAATACTGGATGATTTCACTTATATGTGGAAGATAAACAAATACATGGACAAAGAAAACAGATTAGTGATTACCAGAGCAGAAAGGGGATGGGGGTGGGCATGAGGGATAAAGGGGCACATTTATATGGTGACTGACAAATAATAATGTACAACTGAAATTTCCTAATGTTATAAACTATTATGACCTCAATAAAAAAAAAAAAAAAAACAGGTGGTAGGCTAGATTTGGCCCGTACAACCTCTGCTCTAAAAGAGCAAAAAAGCATAATATTTTTTTTTTTTTTAAAAAAAGGAACTTTAGATTTTAAAAAATCCCTTCAGACAAATATAATTATCAAACAAAATGAAAAACTTCCAGAAAAGACTTTCAGACCCTGTGCTTTTCTCCTTCCTCACTACTGACAGACAACCTTCTTCGTGGAAGGGGCACATAAGTGTACCTTGCTCAGAAATAAAAATCTCAAATTTATTAATTATTAACTCACTTGCAAGACAGGGGCAAAAAGTCAAACCATGTGACCAGTCAAAAGGGCATCAGGCCCAAAGGAGGGATTTCTCCAACGGCCCCTGTGAACACTGACACTGCACATTCACTTACACTGCATTCTCTTCCAGTTCCTTCTGCTACGCCCCAGTCCCTGCCTTACAGAGGCACAATCAACCTACAGAAAGGAACCCCTGGAACACCCACAGGGCTGTGTGTAGAGGAAAGGGGAAGGAGTCTGGAGTTCGATGAGCTGAGCTCCGATGTTTGTTCCACATTCCAATGCCACCAGATATGCAATTTGGGGGAAGACACAAGTTCTCGCAGCCCCACTTTCCCCATCTGTGTAAAACTCTCCCCTCTCACAGAGCTCTCATGTTAATTCATGAGGCCATGTATGTAAAAGCACCTCATAAATGTCAGTTATCCTATCCTAAATGAAGAATGCAGAGACAAACGGTTAATGCTAAGACCACGTTGATGCCACCGACTTCTCGCTTGAGTAAGAGAAAGGTTGGGAGCTCTGATGACCAAAGACCATCTTATCAGGTGAGCTGACTAGGGACAAAACAGATATGCAGGTCGGGTTATGCCCACACACTGTAATTTATCTTGGTGTACGCCTGGAGAAATCTGGGGAAATGTACATACCCATTACTGCCACATGACTGACCTGACAGAAGCCTCTGGAAAAATATGTACAAACCTACAAAAAAGAAAATGTAATCAGTAAAATCTTTGGAGGGCTAACGTTTGTACCTAAAATTCCAGCCTAGGAGTCAAAGGTCGGTGCTTTAGTCCTGGTTCTGCCACTAATTAGATGCAAGTTTCCTTTCCTGTGAGTGGGTGTAATTACACCTGCTCTTGAACCCTGACATAGCAGTTAAGGGATCAAATCAGAGATTGGCTACAGAAGGGCGTTGTATCGTATTATCATCACCCAGCCTTGCAAATCTCCAAATTTCACCTAAGACACTGCTGTGCCGACAATAAAATCTTAGTTATCATCAAAATTACAAATGCACGTGCTCTTTGTCTCAGCAATTCCACTGGCAGAATTTTTTCTCCTGATATATTTCCACATGTGCAGAGGGAAATGTACACAAGGATGTTTATTATAACCCTGTTTGTAACAGCAAAAGATGAGAAACAACCCACAATCCTTCACTGGGGCCCCAGTGAGATAAAGTACGGGTCTGATGGGGGTTGTCGGGGGCGTGTGAGCAGGTGGGGACAGAGGTGGGAGACAAGCTGTCACTGCATCCCTTTTAATACATTTTTAAAATTTTTGAGCCAGGTGAACATCTTCACAAAATTAAACAGTTGGGGAAAGAAGAGGGGGAATTTTCACTTACCTTTAATGTCCAGAAGGTGGTGTCCATCCCAGCCCCCAGGTTTATAATTTGGCACTGACATTCTGTCTTCCGTAGAAATGCCCTTATAAGCTGAGTGACGCCATGGACACGAGCAAAATATCCTCAGAGAGAGACAGAAACAAGCTGTCACTCAGTGATGAGAAATAATCCCTGCAAAGCTCTCTGCAGCAGGAGAGCCAAACAGAGCACTTCTGCCCTTCCTTGGGGTCGGTGGATTATCCGTGACTTTATAGGAGAAATAGCAAATTTTAAATTCTCTTCCTTTTTCTTTTCAGATGTTTGAATCAAAGTACAATCTATTTAATAGTAGAATTAACTCTCATAAGAAAAATAAAATGCCCTATATTTTACTTACGAAAGACAAGTGTTTTACATCAAAACATCTGATCTAAATGTTCCTCTAGGAAATGCGCCCTTTCATAGCTATAGTAAAAGCTACTCAGTAGTGTGGTAAAACTCGAAATTGCAACATCATATGCAAAATAATATTTTTAGGTCAGGAAATTGGATGGATGAGTGTCCAAGCAAAGAAAGCCACACTTCTTATTGTGTTCCTGTCATCTCTACCCTGTATGGGTTAGAGCCTCGGTGTTTGTAACACGGCATGACAGATTGGGGGAGGAATGCTTGTCTAAGAAACTGACTTGTTAAGCTCCGGGGTGGGGAGCTGGGCAAAGGAGATGAGAAATAAAGAAGGACGAAGGAAGATAAAGTCTGTCTGTGTTCTGAGGCCGGCTGCTCTAAGTGTGACTATTTCACGAACACAATTTGAGAGTGGCATTTAGAAATGTTTATTGCAATTTGACAGAGAAATATTATGCCTGTTGAATCTACTAATAAATAATTTGGGCTTGTATTTTGCCTGTCTTATTCATTTTATTTTGCTAGTAAATCATTTTTATTGTATTTTACAGAAATGTCATCCACAATGGATTGGATACTGGGGGAAAAGAGATCCTCACCACACGCTGTTTGGGAAGCACTCTCCTATTGGGCTGCAGGTCCCCAGTACACAGGCAAACCCAGGGGGAGGAAGAAGGAAGGAAGGAGGGCTGACATGCTGCCCGAAGCACAGAGTCAAGTGCCATGGTGTGTCCCTCTGCAGCATTCCGAAGGAAATCTGCCTCAAGAGCACAGGAGGGAGGCTTAAGGCCTCTTTGCCAGGCCTCGCCCAATCTTACAGATGCCTGGATTCACCCTCAGCTCAAAGGAAATACCATGTCCTTCCTTATTCTCAGGAACCTCCACTTCAAAATTTCTTTGTATTTCTGAAAGAACCTACCTACAGGATCCATCCTTAGGGCCAAGATTCCCAGCATACACAAGAATTACCTGGTCAGTTTCTCAGTCTGGCTGAGGCTAAGCCATACTCCTGTCTCAAATTCTGTGACTTCCTTGATGGAAATTATTTGCAGAGCCTAATACTGTTACTAACACTTTAATAAGGCAGCAAAATAGACCATTCACAGTAAAAGATATATGAATGGCTTTTAAACATAGGAAAACGATCTTCAACCTTACCCGTAAATAAGAGGAATATAAAATAAAATTACTATAAGATACCATTTTTCAAGTATCAGATTAACAAAGATTCAACAGTTCTATAATACACTGTGTTGGTGAGGATGTTGGGAAATTAGCACTCCATATACTAGTGGAGAGAGTGCACACCGGAACTCTCTAAGAATGAGTCCCTAAAACCTCAGGCCTCTCGGCTGATGAGGAGATCCTGGGAGGGGGATGGTCACTTGCCTCTGTTAATCTCAGGGGCCTTCCTCTCTTTAGACAGTCTCACAAAATGCTGGATATAAGGGTCATGCCAGTGGCCAATGCTTACTGCAAACCTGAAAGGGATGAAAAAGGAGGCAGGAGTAGAGAGCAGGTTCAGGCCAGGTTCCCAGGAGCCAGGTCAAGGATCTAGAGGAAAATTATCTGCCTCAAAAGGCCAACCAGGGGCTGGTGTGGTGGCACAGTGGTTAAGTTCATGTGCTCCAGTTCGGCGGCCCAGGGTTTGCAGGTTCTGATCCCGGGCACTGACCTACACAATGTTCACCAATCCATGCTGTGGTGGCATCCCACATACAAAATGGAGGAAGACTGGAAAAGATGTTAGCTCAGCAACAATCTTCCTCAAGCAAAAAGAGGAAGGCTGGCAACAGATGTGAGCTCAGGGCCAATCTTCCTCACCAAAACAAACAAACACACACACACACATTTGGTGCTCCACCACAAATTTAAACACTCATTCATTCACCTTTTTATTCACATACACACCCATCATGTTTCCCACAGTGTTCATTTTTCACCTCTCTCTTTCCTCATATCACTAATTCCTTTCCCAGAACCATAAATAGCAAATAACCTCACCTCATACTTCATATGGAAGACTTGCAACTGTTTATTCACTTAGCAAACTCACTGGCCAGATCTAGTCAGATAACTCTACTCAACCAAAAGTGCTGTGTCCAGAGAAGGGAGACCCAGAAGCATCTGGCAAACATCACTAACAACTACCTAAGTACTTCTCCCAACTCTGTGTTAAGTGCCAGTCATTTCATGTCCCTTAAGGAGGTCATAGTGGGGAAACCAGGGGCAAATAAACAAAATAGCTACAACCTGGAAAATGCTACAGTAACCTAAACTCTCTCTACCTCAGTGTACACTACAAGGAATTAAGTTTTTAGTATTCCAAGCCTAGGAGCTGAAGCCCAGATTGTCACTGGAAGTCTTCTGGCAACCATGAGTGAAACCAGCATCGGGACAACTGAGAAGTCACGGAGGGAACCTGGATCCCTAAGGCAATGCCATTGCCACACCCCTGTGGACCTGGAGCCTGCTCTACCTCTCAACGGATAGTTCATGAGATAATAAACATCTTCACCATTTGAGCCAACTTGAGCCCGGCTTCTGTTACTTGCAACCTGAAGCATCCTAAGTGATAACCCGAACAATACACTCATCTCCATGTTGCTTGACAAGTAAGCTGAAAATTAAGATATGGGTATGTGTCTGGGGGGGGGGGGGGTGGGAATCTCACCCAGCTGGATTCTGAGCCCCCAGAAGCCGATACCATCTTTTCTTTACATCTACTCACAAGGCTTGCTGCTGCCTTGACTGCAATAGGTGCTGAATTCCCTACAAACATGTCCCCCACAGTCTCTCCATCCATATTTGTACATCCATAGACACTCATAAGGAAGCATATGCTCAGCTACTCGATACAACAACTCAGCACAGAAACACACAAAGACTCACTAAGGGACACAATTTGCTATAAGCCCAGATGTCCAAGGAAAACAGCAGATCCACAAATTTTACAAGATTAAACTTGCTCAGTTATCTAAAATAGTGCTTTTCCAACAGTGAGCTGTTTTAATATTAAATCAGTTTAATGCTATATAAGTCTGCATTTAAAAAAACAAAGTAAAACGGAAAATATACGCATGCATTACACATAGTAAGGGTTAAGACTGTTTCGTGAAGCTTTTGTTTCAAGCACATGTTGGGGGTCTAAGTGCAATGAAATGTGTTTTCTCACTGTTCGTGGCCATGTGATGAACACTGATTTCAAAGGAATCCTCTGGTGCCATCTGGTGGTAAAAGCCATACCTGCAGTTGAGGCAGGAGTCGTAGAGCAGTGATGAGAACACAAACCAAACAGGTTAAGGGTAGGAAGGGGCCTTAGAAATGATCTAGCCAACCCCAACACCCAGCGCAAGAATGCTTTCAACAGTATTAAGCCACTGCTTGACTACTCCCCACAAAGAAGGCACTCACTCCACTGCTAAGCAACTGCTGAAAAGCTGGTCAATTTGCCTCCCTCTAAGCGCTCCTTCCTGGACTTATTATTGCCTCTTGGATAACAAGGTGCAGTTTCTATTCCTCTCAATTCTGTATTATCAGTCGACTAAATATTATTGTTTCAGTCAAGCAATATTTACTGAGTGTCTGCTAAGTGCCAGGCATTGGAGATACAGTGGCGACAAGACAGACAAGGGACGGAGACAAACATAAATAAGAGATTATAACAAATGAAGGATTCAACAGTATGGAGGATAGAGGGACCTACTTTAGAGAAGGTGAAAGGGAAGGCCTCTCTGAAAAGGGGACGCTGAGTTGAGTCCTAGGGAATTGGAGAAAGTCAGCTGTGCAAAGGCATTCCAGACGGGAGGAACAGCAGATAGAAACCCTGTGGGGTGGGAATGGACTGGGAGCGTTCTAGTATCGGGAAGTAGGCCTGGGGGCTGGAGAACAGTAGAAAACAGGAGAAACCAGAGAGGACTCTACAGAGAGAAGCCAGCTGAGGTCACAGAGGGCCTGGCAGGAGCCTGGGACTGATCTCAACAGCACGCTGGACGTGGTCAGTGATGCGCAGCACAAAAGGTGGGGAGATGCAACAGGACATAACACAAGTACATCTGATCCTAGTTCCCACAATTCCTTGCTTCCTGGTGTTTCTAACATGTGTCTCTTTCCAGTCCTCAAATCAAGATGACTGCCAGTGGTTCCCATGCAGTTCACAAAAGAAGATGTAGGAATGGCCGGCCAACAAGCACACAAAAAGGTGTTTAACATCATTAGTCGTCAGGGAAATGCAATTTAAACTCATCATGAGATGCTATTTCACCCCCACTGACAATACCGAATGTTAACAAGGATATGAAGCACCTGAAGTTTTGATATGTTGCTGGTGGGAAATGTAATCTGATAAAGCACTTTGGAAATTAGTCTGGCAATTAAATATACACCCACCCTCTGACTAAGCAATTCCACTCCTAGACATTTATCCTAGAGAAATGAAAGACAGATAAGGATGTTCATTGCAGCCTATTCACAAAATATCCAGTCAAAAACTGGATACAACTCAAATGTCCAACATCAGGTGAATGGATGAGCAAATCAGAGTATATTCACACAACATAAAAAGGAGCAAACTATTTTACACTGACAAAGGTTCTCTCCCTGACCAAACTCTGGCCAGGCTCCTCTGAGCCCTCTTCTCGACAGGCCTCAAACTTGGCATTTTCTATAAAGACTTGAACAAACTCTAAGATAGCTTCTAACAGCTCAAAGCCACACCCCTAGGATGACTCTAGTCCCCCTTGAAGTGCCTGCCTAAGAAACCTCAAGGCTGGCAAAAGCATTTACTGTTTGTTCCAACCAACGCTTAAAGACAGGGCCCCAGTCTCCCAGGTAGCAAATTCAGATGGTTTCACATGGACCAATCCCTCTTTCCCACTTTGTGTAATTTTTCTCTTCTCTGACTCTACTCACCATCCTCCTTATTCCCTCATTCTCCCTTTAAAACGCCCCCTGTACAAATCAAAGTTGGGTTTAGTTCACACTGGACTCTTTTCCTTATTGCAGTAGTTATTAGTGATTAAAATCTGCCCTTACCACTTTAACTAGTATCTGGCTTTGTGCATCTTTGACAACACACACAACATGGATGAATCTCAAAGAATATGTTGAGTGAAAGAAACAGAAAAAATATATACTGTCTTAGTCCATTGACATGACGTTCAAGCATAAGCAAATCTAATCTGTGATAGCCGAAATCAGAAAACAGTTGTTAGGTGGGGGTAAGGAGACTAACTAGAAAGAGATATAAGGGAAATTTCTGGAGTTTTAGAAATATTTTGTATCCTGCTCTTGGTGGTGATACACAGATACGTACAATTGTCAGCACTCATCAAACTGAACGCTGAGGATTTGAGCTTTTTATTATATAAATTCTCTCTCTCTCTCCCCCTCTCTCCTACCTCCCTCTTCTTCCGTCTCCTCCCTCTCTTTCTCAAGACCACCTGGGGAAATTCTGGGGGGGAAAAGAAGATGAGAGATGTAGCTGATACTTCTCTTTTCAATATCCACTCACCCCTTCTTCCTTACTACGAGGACCCCAATTTTGTTTGAGGTATCAATTTGCCCTACTGGAAATTCTCACCTCCCAACATGTTCCCGCAGCCAGAGGTGGGACCACATGCCCTAGTTCTGGCTAATGAGAAGTACGCAGAAGCCTACAGGGTACAGCTTCCTAAAAAGCTATTGCTTTTCTGATGAAAAGGGACAGGCGCAGGGGCCAGCCAGGTGGCGCCACAGCAGTTAAGCTCACATGTTCTGCTTCGACGGCCCAGGGTTTGCCTGTTCAGATCCTGGGTGAGGACCTACACACCGCTTGTCAAGCCATGCTGTGGCAGGCGTCCCACATAAAAGAGAGGAAGACAGGCATGGATGTTAGGTCAGGGCCCATCTTCTTCAGAAAAAAGAGGAGGATTGGCGGTAAATGTTAGCTCTGGGCTAATCTTCCTCCAAAAAAAAAAAAAAGGACAGGCTCAGACACACATCTTTCATTCATATCCCTTCCTTTTCTTTCTTCCTGGAGCACAGCTGCTCAAACAGACTAAAAAATCCTGCTAATCCCTGGTACAAACCTATTCTTACCCTGAGAAATAAGCTATAGGAGCTCCAAATCAATACACATCTAAGTTACTTTGCAAGTCAAAGTTTTCAGGCGTCAAAATGAAAAAAAGCAATTTCAACTGGAAGTCAAGAATGACAAATGAATTCCTGTGTTGAAGTATAGATAAGAATTTAGTATATAATCCAAGTGATGTTTCAAATCAATGGGGAAGGAGAGACCATTCAATAGATGGTGTAGGGACAACTGGCTAATAATTTGAGACTAAAGTAAGTTAGACTGCTACTTTATAACATATAAAACAATAAAGATAGATGCCAAAACCATAAAAGTGCTAAAAGAAAATGTTAGAATGATTGAGAATAGTCTTTCAAAGCATTACCCGAAATCCACAAGCCATAAAGTTAGATTGTCAGATTCTGCACCATAAAGATTCACAATTTCTGTATTATGAAATGTACGATACAAGCTAAACTGAAAGATAAGCATCAGTTTGAGAGAAATTATTGCAACAAATACAGAGGCAACAGATTACTATCCCTGATATAAAAAGTTCTTACAAATCAATAATAAAAATACAAATAACCAAACAAGAAAAAGACAACAACCCAGTAGGAAA